GCTGAACAGAGGGGTTTTCCATGTCGGGTTCATGTAGACTTTTCCGGTTCTTTCTCTTGTGTGCTGGTGGGTGAGACAAGGAGGCACTTCCAACATCCGCTGTGGTCAAGGCCCTTTTCACAGATGCCCAGGCTTTGGAGGAAGTAACCCTTTGGGAGGTGGTCCTGCCAGATCCTTTGCTTCTTCTCTTGGTCTGGCGTCTTGATCTCTATTGCTGTTTTTTAAGATCTGTTTAGCATTGTGGAAATTGCCAGAGATCCTGGGAAAGGGAGAGTAGTGGGAGGTTCCAAAATCTCTGCTCTGTGTGGCTTTGCGAGGCTGTGTCCAGTGACAGTTTTTTTGGGTGGAGCAGAGTCACAATGCTCACCATCACCTGTGCATGGCCTGCAGGTGCCCTAGAAGTGGGGCCAGGGCTGAGAAACATGCCTTCACTTGGGTGAGGGCTGTGGCCCAGCACAGGGCCTGCCCCCGTGTCCGTGGGCTCCGAGCTCCTTCTTTATTCAAGCAGGTTTCTCTGCTTCCCAAGGAAGGCACTGTGAGCACTGCGCTTGATGCCTCCTTGGGCCTGTGAGGCAGCGTAGGAAACTGCAAGCTGGCCGGAGGCCATCTGTTGCTTGTGCAGTGCAGGCTGTGTCTCGGGTCTGGGGCAGCCTCAGTCCACCTTCGCCTGCAGAGCTACCCCCAGAGCAGCCGGCCAGTGTTGCATGCATTGCTTCTCAAGCAGGTGACGCACTGCACATCTGTCCGATGCAGCCCATCTGGAAGGGCTCTGACTCTGGGCATCCTGCACTTGGAGTGACTTTGCCACATGTTTCCTGTGTGACTTTGCATAGCACACACCTCCCTTCAGGTGAAGGTGGCCTGTGGAGAGCCTCATAAGACTCACCTTTAAAGCAGGACACAGTAGCACATGCCTGTAATTATAGCCACTGGGAGGCTGAGGCAGGAGGCTCTCAAGTTCTAGGCAAGACTCAACAACTCAGTGAGGTCCTGTCTCAAAACAAAAGTAAAAAATGGCTGTAGGGGACTGGGCTATAGCTCAGCTGTAGAGTGTTCGCCTAGCACGCGGGAGGCCCTGGTTTCTATCCTCAGCACCACGTAAAGTAAATAAATAAAAATAAAGGTATTGTGCTCATCTACAACAAAAATGTATTTTTTTTTTAAAAAATTAAAAGGGCTAGGGATGTGGCTCTGTGGTAGAACCCCTGGATTCAGGCCCCAGTACCCTTAAGAACTTCTGAATCAGAATGTGGTGGTGGACTGTGGCCCAGGGTGAAAACCACTAGCGTCCCATGTCAGGTGGCCTTTCCTGCTGTGCTGTGGGGCAACTGGGGTGCTGCAGGCTGCTGTTCATGTGCTTCCTGTGGCTGCCAGAACCGAGGGTCCTGGGATGGTGGCTGAAGATGGCAGAGATTTACCTGGTGTCGGTGAGCTTCCTCCCTCCCGAGGCTCTGGGGAGGACCCTCCCTGCCCCTTCCAGCTTCAGGCCTTGGTGTGCCTGGCTGGTGGTCACATCTCCCAGTCTGCCCTGTCCTCTCCTGTGGGTATCCATGCTCCCCTTTCCTAGGGGTGGCAGTCATGGTGGGTTAAGTAGGGCTCATCTGAACTCGATCACATCTGCAGAGACCTGGATTCCAAGTGCGGTCACATTGGACGGTGTGGGGTTCAGGCTCCCACAGACCCGCCTCACTGACACATTTCCATAGACGTCACTCAGGCTCTGCCTGGGAAGGCTTCTCTGGGTGTCATGAGCTGTTCCTTCTCAGGGCACCATGGCCCTGACAGAGCTGTTCTTTACAGCAGAGGTGCAGGTGACCACCATATTAAGTAGTATGTCCCTTGGCAGGCAGGGTTCCTGGCGACCTGGCAGCCAGCAAATCGGTAAGCATCCTGGTGGGGGCAGCAGTGATGCGGAGACTGCAGGGGGCTGTAGAGGCTGGAGGCAGGGAGGGCCGGGCCTCCCACATTCAGTGGGGGTGAGGAGAGAAGAGCCAGGTGTCTGGTCTGGCTTGGAGTATCTGTCAACGCCCCTTCTGCCTCCCTGTCTAAAGCAGGACTGTGTCCCCTCCTCCCAGCACCCCACTTGCATGGCTAATTGCCCTTGTGCCCTTCCTTCTCTCTGTGGGTTGGACCCAGAACCTTGTCTGTTTCTCTCCCTGGCCCTGGATAGCAGGTGAGACCAGTGCCCTTCATTTTTTTGGTACCCAGGGTGCTTAACTACATGTCCTATCTCGAGCATGTTTTTATTTTTTATTTTGAGACATGGTCTCCTTAGGTTGCTTAGGGCTTCACTAAGTTGCTGAAGCTGGCTTTGAACTTGGGATCCTCCTGCTTCAGCCTCCCGAGTTACTGGGATCACAGTTGTCCACCTCTATGCCTGGCCAATCTCAGAGCTCAGTAGTGCCTGACAGGTGGCCATGACCAGCCCAGAGCCCCGCCCTGGTAACTGGAGATGCCTGTCAACCCAGGCAGGTGGGGTCTCAGGCCTGCAGGACATGCATGGGCTCCCACCTACCCACCTCCTGTCTGTAGCACCCCGAGGTTTCCCACTCTATGTGTCTTGTCTGTGGCTTTGGAACAGAGAGGGGGGCTCCCAGAAATGCTTCACTAGGCATGAATTGTCGGTGGTAGCCTGCCGGAGCTGCCCACAGCCCCACTGAGGAATTTCCTTCTGCTTTCAGAAGTATGAGCACTGGGCTTTGGCTGCTTCTCTGTGAGGGGTGAAGAAGAAAGCAGGTCTTTCCCTTGTCCTCTGGGGAGACCCCCACAGCAGTTCCCACTTCTAGGTAAAACCCACCAGTCCATGGCAGTTATCTCTTCTAGGTGAGACCCCCTTGGCAGTTCCCAGGTCTAGGTGAGACCCCCCATGGCAGTTCCCAGTTCTAGGTCAGACCCCCCCATGGCAGTTCCCAGTTTTAAGTCAGACCCCCCCATGGCAGTTCCCAGTTCTAAGTGAGGACCCCCATGGCAGTTCCCAGTTCTAGGTCAGACCCCCCCTTGGCAGTTCCC